AACTCACTAGTCCTTAAAAAATCTCTACTGGGTCTTCAAAATATGTTAGGCCTATCCCAGCATTTGTGAACTGGAAAGGACTTCAGATAATTTAGTTAAAATTATTATTGTTATTTTTTTTTTAATGAAAGACTTGTTTGAAGTCAAACAGCCACTTGGGGTAGAAGTCAGATTTTCTGCACCAGTTACTCAGGCTTAACTGGAATTTCTCTTGGATAAGCTTATTTTACAATTGCCTACTAAGTCATTTGATGAAAAATTTCCCACAGCAAATACAGTTTCCCTTCATGAATTCTAATTAAAATAAAACAAATAACAGACAAACAGGCTGAACATGCAAGAAGGAGATTCAAATAATATTAATTTGCCTGCTCAATTTTTATTAGGTTAATAATAATTTATTTTAGAATCTGAATATGTTGATTTCCTGGGGTAAATTGTACATTTACCTACTTTAAATATTAGACAATAATAAGACAAAGATGACTTTGCAATGTTATTTTCTTAGAAAGTTATCTACCTTCAACTGGTAGAACTTCCTCTTCTTTAGGAAGAATGATTCGTTTTTCTTCCACCTTCTTAGGCACCTCAGGAACTTGAGAGACATTGATTATTTTAGACACTTAAAATGCAAGAACCAAAGAAGAATAAAGACCAAGTTTCCAGTTTCCAGCATAAGAGAGTAAATATCAAAAGGCACATACACAAGATGAAACATTGACATTTCACAGAATCAGTTAATGAGAAAAGAATAAAAAGTTTGTGGTTTAAGATTAAGGGTTTATTAAAGAGAAATTCTACTTTTTACTACTGGAGTCTCCATTTCTTTTTTCTTTTTCTTTTTTTTCTTTTGGTAGGAAGAAATGGGTACTTCAGGGACTAGTTCCTTAGTTATTTCTGGCTCTTTAAAGATATATTTTTATTTTGTAGAAACAACATACATAGAGAAACAATGTAAAACACACCAATACCAAGTGAAAAAATGGACACAACACAAACTTGGGTGCAACAGAGTCACAAATGACGAATGTGAATGACAGACCATACAATGCACACATTTATGTTGAACGTCCTGTGTGGATAGAACCACCGTTCAACATCGGTGCAGCAAACACATCCCTGTTACGGGATGATGTACCTTTGGCAGGAGGCGCCACTGCTTTCTTAAGACCAGGAGGAGGGACCTTCTTTTCTGGCTCAGGTTTCTTAGGTACCATAGGCACTTTAAAAATATTATTTTATTTTATAAGTTCAATTTCAGAAACACAAAGACAAGTAGACACAGCAGTAATATAAGTTGTACTAACAAATACAGAAACAGGACATTTTGATTTTTACAGGTGAAGGAAGGAAATGGCGTGGTCTAATTTACTTCAGAATAGCAATACCTTTGGCAGGGGGAGCCTCCTCTTTCTTGGGAATGACCACTTTCTTCTCTGTCACTTTCTTCTTAATCTCAGGCACTTTAAAGACATCATTTCATGACAAGAATTTATTTTGAAGGACAAAAAAAGAGAGAAACCAAGAAGTCCCCACACCCAGAAAGACCAACATGCAATAGTCACTCAAGACAGGTCTGTAATGCAAGTTGGGAGCCCAAATATTATAATGTAATTGGGAGTTGTAAAGCAAGGAACCAGCAGCATGTGTCATTATCAGAGGACAGATGCTATTAGGGTGGTGCAAAAATAATTGCGGTTTTGACATTACTTTTAATGGTAAAAACCACAATTACTTTTGCAACAAACTAATATCATTTCATCCATTTAAATTTCATTAGTAATTTATTGTCTGGAAAGTATTTCTGAATCGTTGATATCCAATAAAAGATCAGCTTTACTATTTCATTTGATTATATAACTATATGGCCTGATGGGAAGGTTATGCTGATTTTAAGTAGCCATGTCAGCACCTTTTGTAGAAAATATTATTGAGCTTTAAAGCACAAATGTATTAATTCTGTCCTGTACTATGAGCTGATTGAATATGTTAAATCTGGATACTATTCATTCAATGATAGACTACTTTAATAACTTACTTTATTTTATCCT